GGTTAGCTCACTTGGGAGAGCATGGTGCTGACACACCAAAGCCAAGGGTTAAGATCCCCTTACCGGTCCCCTTTAAAAAAAAAAAAAAAAAAGAAAAAGTTTATGTCTATTATCTCTTGTAGATTCGATTCTAGTTAGGCAAATCATGAATCTTCCAGAATCTACAAATACAGGCTTCAAATCCCAATCTAGAGAGAAGCGTACGCACAAATGTTTTAAAAGACTAAGACCATCAAAATTTTGGTGCAAAAATATTCATGACCAATTCAAATATTTCAGATATATAATCTAAAATATTAATAAAGTTCAGAATAAAATTTCAGTTTCCTTTAAGAAGCAAAGCTATTATCTAAAAGCTAGAAGGTACCTTTAAAGATCATGAATACTTGACAGTGCAGCCCATTCTGAAACCCAGATACCTGAATCTAGTCTCAGTACTACAGTTTTCAAAAATAAGTTTATAATATACCCATTATTTTTTAAGAAGAATCCTGTTCAACTTTGCCCATAGTCCAAAAGGCCACTGAGGCACCTAGGACCCTAAGTGACCCCATTGGAAAACTACTGCTCTTCTACAGTATGCTAAAGTACTAGGTCTATAATCAGAAACTTGCTGAAGATCTTTGGCTTTACTTCGACCCTTTTTTTTATTTTATAGGATTGTAATAAAATATTTCTATAGTTATTTCAGATCATGTTAAGCTTAAAGGGATCCCTATACTCACACAAGTGACCGTACTGACTACACTTGCCCCAAATTAAATGTAATTAAATATAATCATTCCACACTCATTTCATTAGAATCTGTCCAAATGGGAGTTCTTTCATTCCTGAATATTTTAATGTGAAGTCAAACTGTTATATGGTAGTCTTGATCTTACTATAGCCAAGAATGTAACTGCACTTAAGTTCTAGGAAAAAATCCATAACCAGAGACTTAGTAAAAAAGCACCAAATCAGTTAAGGGCCTTGTCAAAACATTAACATACTTATGATTTGGGTTTCCCTAAACACATCAGAGTACACATATTTGTAAACAACAACAATGAAAAGTTAGTAATAGACTTAGAAAGAAAGAAGATACCAATCAAAAAATAACCCTCTAAATACTTTTACAGGTTTTTTTCTTTTTTTCAACTTAGCCCTATGCTATTAACTTGAAAAGCTAATGTGGCTACACATTCCTTAGGGAACTGGCCTGAGAGTAAAAACTGCTGATGAGGTACTAGAAATGCAGTTACAGTCTATTCTTTATAAGACAAAAATGGTAAGATTTCCTCAGGGAAGACCATTTTTATTTTGCTGGGAAAGAAACTATGCCAATCTGAGTTCTATTCCTATTAATGCAATTGTTGGGAGTCTGAGATCTACTGTAAGAATAGGAAATAAAGCAGGACTCCAAGAAGCATTAGAGTAAGGGAGGTGACCTCAACCTCCTGAAATCTAAAATTATGGGTACAGCAGACCAAGATGATTAATCATGTACCATTTTTTTCATGTCTGAGTGCTGGCACTGTGCTAACCTTATGACTAGATCACTTAATTCACCCTTCAGTCATGACTAAAACAACTTACTCAAAACCATGAGTTTAGAATACTGAAACTATATTAAATTCAGGAGGAAGGTGCTTCAACGAAGGAGAATATTTAAGGAACAAGCACTAGTGGAAAAGCATCCCCAAATGTAATTAATAAATTTCTACACTAAATACAGGTCCATAAGGAATCATAATATTTTCCATTCAGAATATTTTTAAAAAGGTCTTTTAATTTTATCACAAGTCTTCACGAGGAACCCCAAAATGAATTTAAATGTAGATGCAGCAGGAAATCATTCTTAGGGAAACTGTTTTTTACCTCTTCAGCCTCCTCTTCTTGATCCCAATTCCTATCTGTCAATTCCTTCTCGGCAATTCTTTTGGCCATTTTTTTGAACCTAAGTTATAAAAAATAGAAGTAAAAAGTTTACTTTTCTAGACCAAGATATAACTCTTACAAAGACTTTTAAAAATTCATTTTAGCATGAAATGAGATAAAAACATTCCTAACGCCAGTGGAAACTGCTTTAATGAGTACTTTACAACAGTGTTGTCAGGCTCCCGGTGTAACAAATCCAATACAGAATTATTCAAGGAGGCAGTGGAAGATTCCTAAGGAACCTGGCATTCTTTCTGAATTGGAAAAATTAAAACAAAATATCAACTGATTTTTAAAAATTTGGAATCTTAAGTACTGTATACACAATCCTTAACTAACTTATTCCATGCAAATTACACTTAAGTCTTCCCATAAGCAAAACATTTCCAATATATAAAATTCTCCTTTTCTTTTTTTTTTTTGGCACTGGCCATTACAGGGATCCAAACCCTTGACCTTGGTTAGTTATAAGAACATGCTCTAACCACCTGAACTAACTGGCCAGCCCCTAAAATTCTCTTAAAGATGATCCATTAAAGAAGTTTATCCTTATGTAAGAATTTTAATAAGGCATTTGAAATACCTTCACATGAATACTTTTCTTGAGGCTACAGTTGATAGAAATATGTGTTCTTCAAAATTAAACATTTAATTGCCCCAAACTATATGTTGCTAAGATAAGATACCATTTAAAAGATCAAAATATGACCAAATATGGAGGTATTAACATTCTGAGAACTTCAGCAATAAATCATCAGCTTAATTCTTCTAATACCATGGCATTAGGGGAAGGGGTAGGAATTGTATTATTCTGCGGTGGATTCTAGCACCTATCCAAAGAGGGTGTTTGTGTCCATCTCTTAAATTTGCTATTTGTTTTCTGAACCTAATATCATATCCTTTGCTCTTAAAAAACAATAATACAAAAAACCCCAAAAACTAGAACCTAGAGCTCTGGTTGTGTTATGCTGGCTTCTTTGCTGAAAGGATTCCCCCCCCCTCCCCCCACCAAAAAGCAGCCTTTCCATTTTCTCTGCTATCTACCTTGCTCTGGAATTTATCAATTAGTTTTTGGCACCTGCCAGGGCTGGTTAAATCTGCCTGGACTCCTTCCTGGTAGTCTTAGCCCATTCTTATTTGCCCTCAACACCAACCCACCAGAGTAAGCTTCCTTGAAATTGATGGCCATTAAGATACAAACTTACACATCACCTACTGCTCTTTACTATTTACAGAATAAAATTCGAATGTCGGCAACCCAAAGTCCTCCAATATCTGATGCTCAGTAGAGCAATTACACAGCAGCTTTCATCTTTTAATATATCCTAGTAATGTTTGAAATTTCCTTTACAAGTATGTACTTTTTTTGATTATAGAATAAACGATTTTAAAGTCCAAGATTCTAAAATATAAAGTATGAGATTAATATTTCTCAGCCATTACCTAGAAATACTCTTTTTTTAATGCCTCCCCAAAAACACTTGGTCAGGATTTGCTATTAATTGTTGTCATATAAACAAAAACAAATATAGGAATAGACATGATTCTTTACTGAACTGTTCAGAGACCAGGTCTCTGTGTGGATTCTTCTGGCAATTTTCCTATTCATTAACTAACACCTCCACCAGAGGGAAGAAATGAGAGTTGGAATAGTCATCTTTGCTATTTACGACTGTGGGCAAAAAAGAGGTAGAGCTAAAAGTGGAAAAACTGCAATAAGAGTAAAATTTTAATATCTAACTCACACCCACGACTAAAGAGATAACTGGCATAGTAAAATAAATCTAATGTAGCTGCTTCCATTTTCTAACCTATTTACCAAATCAATATATAACCAGAAGACAGAGATCTTTATTTTGTTTATTGATGTTCTCCAAATACTCCAAACTTGCCCAGCTCACAGTAGGTATTGTTCTACCTGTTGTTGAATCAGTGATCTGGGGTATTACATATCTGAGAAAATACTCCAAGACGCTGGCAGTCTGGTTTTCTCATTTTCTATCTGTGAGACCTTGGCCAAGTTATTTATGTGCCTCGGTTTCTTTATCTGTGGAACAGGGTAGTGTAATAAAAATTAAATGAGATAAACAAAAATCTTAGTTTAGAACAGTGCCTGGAGGGCGGGCCAGTGCCTCAATGGATAATGCGCCTGACTACAGTTCACAAGATTCTAGAACAATTCCTGGAACCGAAGAAGTGCTTAACAAACATTGTTAAAGAAACACGTTTTGCTAGAAGAAAAGGCTATAAGATACTATTTTTCCTCCAAAACGCAAAAGTTGTATCAGACAGCCATCAAACAAAAAACACACACGAAACTTAAAAAAGAAAATAACTTGAATTGTGAACCAGACTTAAAAAGATACGTTACAAAACCCATATTTTACTCCAAAACATAACGCTTTAGATAATAAGCTTTCTTTTTATGCACAAAGCGGGGGGGTGGGGTGGGGGGCATCTCCGTCCAGTGCTAAGAACAAGGCCTGGCACCCAGGGTCTCCGTGCTATTATTACGAAAAGTTTAACATGGGCGCTTGTGGGTAAAAAGAGACCAAGTTATGACATAATTCTCAGTTATGAAGCAAAGTGATAGGAAGCTAAAGTCTAGGTGACTAGAAAAAACATTATTATTTATGCCTGATACAGTTGTGTAGTCTCTTAAGATGAAAACAAAAATCTGACTGGAAAAAACCAAGTGGGCCGATCGGGAAGACTTGAAACGCCACCAAAAAACCAGACCTTAAAACTGCTTCTTAATGGAACCGGGTAAAAGGGTGATCAACGGCCCGAGAGCGCAGTAAGAAAGTGAAACCAGACCGAAGAGGTAAGGGACAAAGCGACAGAAGACAGAGGTGGGACGGCCGGGGAGGGAGGTACCGAGAGGAGCCGTCCGGAAGCGGACCGATCAGACCGCGCCACGACAGTCCCCGCCCGCTCCGGCCTCCTACCTCCGCCGTGGCCGCAAGGGCCCCGCGCCCGGGCGAGCCCAGCCCAAGTGCGGCGCCGCAGCACGAGAGGCCGGGCCGGCTTCACACACAGCCCGGGCTGCGTCGCCGCTGTCACCCGCCCCGCCCTCCCCC